TGTTGGGGGCAATATGCTGACTCTGTAAACCGCTTAGAGAGGGCTGAAAGCCCTATGAAGCGGTATATAAGTCAAACTGCCATTGCTATTGCTATTGCTACAATGTAATAAGGGTTAACTGGAGAGGCAGTTTCTGTAAGCAGGGCACTAACGATTAGGCTAGAAACAACACCAGAATGTTCCCTTCCTGCCTTACTTACAGGATCAGCTCTGTAAAGTGGGAAAAAAAACAAAATGAGATTTCTTCCAACAACCGGTTCTCCGAACTGCTTTAGAAAGTTACCAACCGGTTCTCCCGGATAGGTGCGAACCGGCTGAATCCCACCACTGGAAAAGATGCTAAATCGAAAGATGGGAGTTGAGGCCAGAATTATTATTTCTACTAGGGATCACAAAAGGAAAAAAAAAAAAGCATGTCAAAGGTGGACTATATTTAATGCTGCATATTTTAATGGCGGAGAGACTGTTTTTTTGCGCAAAAAATGGAAAAATAAGGAGACTCCCTTGGAACAAGAAATAATAATAAAGGTACTGACGTGCGCAGAGATGGACAGACTGACTCAAAGACGAGGGCGAGACAGAATTATCGTGAAATCTGAGACAAATGGTACCGATGGTTAGAAAAGGCCGGGACAGAAAAACACAGACAAGTTAAGAACTGGAAAATCACGAATGTGTGATAAGGTAGGAATTGGATATGTATTTGTACGGTTGGTAATTATATAAAAGAAAGGATCAACTGACTACATACACCTATGTAAAGGATAGAAAATGTAATTGTTGTAAGATCTAATCACTATATGGAAACGTTTATGCCAGAAATGTTGCAATGTTTTTAATCTTTATCTAATGAAAAACTTTGTATACAAAAAAACGACCAGCACCAAGGGAGGCAGGAAGTCAGAAAGCCAACGACAGCAATGGGATGTTGAAGACAACCTCACGCCATGATTGAAGCCGTCTGGGGAACCAGCCGAGATGCATGGAATCCATGCGTGAAGCCCCTCAAGGTGATGGTTGAAAGCGATGGGGGCGGGGTCTTCAGAGGGGACGGTAGACCGGGAAATGTGGCTTACTCACTCTTGTTTGACGCTACGGAGCTCCTCCTTGTTCCGCTGAGACACCTCCTTCCAGTGAGCGGCCTCCTCTTGGCTCTCCTGAAGCTCCGTCTGGAGAGTCCTCACCAGGGAGTTGACCTTCTGCCTCTCGGCCTCCAGGCTGTCTTGATCCTACCCAGAAGAAACCCAACGTTCAGAGATTCCAAGAAGAGGTAGAACCCAAAACAAGATCTCCAAACCCAAGGTGGACCTCGTTTTGGAGAAGGATCACCGGGGTCCTCTCAACGTCTCACTCCTAGACATCCCAGGAACTAAAGCTCCCAAGCTCAGAAGGTCCAAGGTTAACAAGTGACGTCCCTTTCTTCGCCTAAATCCTGGTCTCGCGGTCACCTCTCAGATCTGGCCCGCGGGACGCGAGTTTGACACCCCTGATCTGGCATGTCAACGGGAGGTTGGGCGCGCACCCTCACAGGTGGGACTTCCACCTGCAAGATGAGGCAGACCAGGCCACTCACCTGAGACACGTCCTCCATGTTGCGTCTCAACTGCTCCATGTCCTGCTGGTACTCTTGCCGGACCCGATCCAGCTCCTTGTCGTGGCTGGCCACCTCCTCCTTCAGGGCCCCCTTCAGAGCCGTCAACTCGCGTTCCCTCTGGCGGAGCTGGTCTTCCTGCTTCTGCTTGGCGGTCAAGATCTCCTCCAGGTCTTCGCGGGTCTCCAGAAGCTCCTGAGGAAAACAAGGAAAAGAGAAAGGTCGTCTCTGGGTCTGGCTTGGCCGGAAGGGTTTCGTCCCACCCACGTCCACTTGGGTGTCTCTCCGCTGACCTTCAGCAAGGCTTCCTGATCCGGGCTGGCGGAGGAGACTTCTTGAAAGCGGTCCAGGGCCTTCTGCATCTCGGTCAGTTGGTCTTCGAGGTCGGTCAGCTTGGCTTCCAGCTGTTCCTTGACCGCTCGGACGTCTCTCAACCTTTAAAGGGAAGGAAGAAGCATTAAGTGTTGATTGAAAAAAAGACACAATTCCGGACACATCGGCTCTCGCGCAATGACCCTGTCTGATCTAAGATGGTCCTTGAGTTACGAACACAACTCCCGCGGCTAAGCACAGGGGTTCTCCAGCTGGGCCCAATTGGACAGCTTTTGGGGCCCAAATTTTGCAGCTTTTCTTTTTTGCCACGGACGTTAAGTGAATCACTGCAGTTGCTCGGCGAATCGTGGTGAAACAAAACCCCAATTTTGCTTGTTGGAAGCCAGCTGGGAAGGTCACAACTGGAGATCGCAAGGGCCCAAATTTTGATCTCGTGACGGTGGGAGTCCTCGACATACGGCCACCATTGAAAAGCTCCAGATTTCAGTGAAACATCCGTCGAGTGAGTTTCGTCTCCTTTGACCCAGTTGTTAAGTGAATCCGGCTCCCCCTGCTCACTTTGCAAAGCGGGAATCGCGCGGCCTTGGGAGACGGCAACGGTCATAAGTATGAGTCCATGGCCAAGGGTTTGAGGCTGCAACGGTCATTAAGTGTGAAAAAGGGCCCCAAGTCCTTTTTTTTTCAGGGCTGTCAAAACTTTGAATTGTCACTAAATGGATTATTGCACAGTACTATTTATATTTGGAATAATATTCATCCCTCGAGCAAGTTCCTGATTTTCCAGCCGGGGAGACCAGCCCGGGGGGGTGGGGAGGGAAGGGGGGGAAGCCTGGAAGGGGGACGGGGTCTGCATCGGATGCCTTCCCCCCCCTTGCATCCTCCCCTGCAAGGACCCCCTACTCACTCTTTCCCCGTGCTCTGGAGCTCCTGGCTCTTCTTCTCAAAAGCTTCCCGGAGTCGCTGGCATTCTTCCTCCAGTTCCTGCAGCCGGATTTGGAGGTGTCGAGGAAGGCTCTGGGCCGCCTGTGTGTGGAACCCCGATTCAGTCACCCTCCTTTTTCATCCCTTCATTTCAATCGTAGTTATTGATTGAAATGAGACGGGTTCATTGGTTTGTTTAAAGGAATACGTCGAGGTGTATTCATCTTTTCTTTTCTGCCACATTTTCTACTATTCTACTAGCCATTTGTTTATGGTGGGAAAATGGGAGTTAGATGATATGCAGCCATAACAACATTCTTTCTAGAAAGCTAAGGTCATCCTTTGTCTCTGCACCTCTGAACCTGACCGGAACTGGATGGGTGGAAGCTACCAGCGTGGCAGTGGGAGATTGGACCATGGGATGGATTTATGGGTGTGGGGGCTGCAAGATCTTGAACTTTCAACCGGGTGGGGAAAACCGGGAAGCTTTCAGATCCGGGTTTCCCCAGATGTGCCAACGTGGCTCTCTCCATAAATTGGAACTTTGAGCAATACTTTGCCTCGGATTCCGATTTAATTTTGGATGCTATTTGGAACGCTGACGTATTATTTAAACCGTTATTAAATTATTCCTGTCATTGTGAGTCATTGTGCACGCAAGGTTGCGTCGTTACTGTTTTTGCAAGCTGCCTCAGAGGTGCCCAGAGGCCAGGCGGCAAATACGTCTAAATTACATATGTTATATATGAATATTTAAATTGGATTTGAATTTTTTAAAAGGAGCGGGACGCAGAGGAATAAACTTCGGCAGAGTGAGTCAGCCACGGTTTGGAGTGCCTGTTTTCACACTTCGCCGGAAGTCTTTTCTCCCCAGCTCTGATTGGCACGGCCAATGGCTGGGGAAGATGAGAGTCGGAGTCCAAAAGTCTCCTCCCCCTCCTCCAAGGGAATTTAACTGCAGCCAAGCACACATAGACACACAACCTATAGCCAGGAGCAAGAAATATAAGATTATTTCGTCCACCTTGTTCCGGCTGTCCGCTTCGTCCATTTTCAATTTTGTTTTGGTTATCTCCGCGCCGGACTCCCTCAGCTCCGACGAAGGGACGGCCTGCCTCCCCAGCCAGGAGAAATGAAAAAGTGCTTTTAAGTCAAATTTTCTTCCAAATTTTTTAAAAAAGAAGCAAACTCCCATTTCTTAGGGGCGGCCATTTTCTTAAGAGAACCCTCGCGTCAAGTGGCTAGACCTCATGGTTGAAAGGGGGGACGCTCCTCCCCCCCCCTCGGAAGCAGCAACTGTGGTGTGTATTTCGGGGGCAAACTTACCGCAAACGCCTGGATTTTCTCAAAGATCAGGTTGGTTTTCCGCTTCGCCATGGCGTCGCTATCGCTGCTCCTGAAAAACGAGAAGAGTCGGCCGGCGAAAGTGAAGGAGGGTTTGCAGCACCCTTATAATCCTGAATAAACGGCAATCTCCTGACGAGCGGTAACCCTGGTTAAGGAACTGCCAGTGAGGGTCCCATCAAATCTGACCAAGCAGGAGAGGGGGCTGAGACAACAGAGCCTCCAGCTTTAGGGAGAGTCTACCCCAAATGCCAGCCAGGGGGGCGGGGAGGGCGGGCTGGACCAAAATATGAGGGAAGGCCCTGTCTAACCAGGTGTTTGTGGACTTCCCGGAAGCTTCCGGCTGCCCGCTGTGGGAAACCGAGGGTGGAATTCCCGCAGGGCTATTTCAAATTTCTCACCACTTCGAAGAGCACCGTGGCCAAAGGAAGAAAAGTAAAATGTGAAAACGTACTGTATTTTTCAGACTATAAGACGCACCAAGATTTCGAAGAGGTTAAGTAAGAAAAAAAAATTGTCCTCCCCGGCCCCCAGGAGCACTCTGCACACTTCAGCAGGCCTGGGGGGGCGGGGGAGGCAAAAACGCCCCCGTTTTTGCAAAAAAGGATCATTATTTGCAAAAACGGGAGCGGGGATAGGGCTTCGATGTATAAGGCGCACCAACATTTCCATGTTCTTTGGGGGGGGAAGGTCTGTCTTAAATGCCGAAAAATAAAGTATTCTAAGCTGGGAAAGTGGCTGATCTGGGAAAAGATAACCAGGATCCAACCTGGTTAGTCCTGTCATGGGGAGAGTTTAAGGATTCAGATAGGAAATCCACGGGGGCCGCCCAGATTAAGATTCAGGGAGATGCCTGGGTGAGCTCAACCAGGGTTAGGCTCAGCTCAAGCCGGCTTTTGGGGTTTACCTGTCCTTCAGGATACTGTAGATAACTTCCTTGGTGTATTCGCTGCTCCCCGGCTGGGCCACTTTCTGCTGATCCCTCAGAAGATCTGGGGTGGACTTCAGCTGGAAGAGTAAAGCCAACTTTGGTGAGTCAAAGAGGGCCTGGGTGGGCGGCCGGCCAATCACAGAAGTGACCAACCCTAACCAGACAAAGTCCACTTAAGTGTCTCTGGTTAGAGTAACTTGATCGCGGTCTGTTTTAGAGATGACCGTATGCGCTAAGAAAAAAGACGTTCTCCCTGTGGCTACCTTAACGGCATCCAGCCGTAATTCACTTCCCAGAGAGAAGGGGGTGACAAAGATGCTACTGGACTACAAGTCCCATCATCAAAAGGATTGTGGTTTCCCCACCAGACCCAGGACTGATCGGGAAATTGAGAGTCTAGCAAAGATATCCAGAAAATTACCTGCAAATCAGACTGGATTTTTCTCGTCTGTTTCTCCGTCCCGGGCTCGTCCAGACTCTTGTTGACCCAATCCTGGATCATCTTAGACTTGTCTACTTCCTTCTCCTTCTTCACCTCTTGAACGGAGGCTCCCCGGCTGCCCGGGGAGTTCGCCGAAACGAGCGGCTTAGCCGCCGAGGATTGTGCTACTTCTTTGAAATCTCCTGGATGATGTCTGTTGATCTCTCGTTCTCGTTCGTCGTCCATATCGCGGTAAGCGCTCCTTCCGTCAAGGCTCCGGGAGCGCTGATGGCTCTCGGGGGAGACCCGGGTCCTGCGGGAAGCTCGGCCCCTCGGGGGGGCCTTCCCATCAAATTTGTGGATCAAGGAGTCCACGGAGGACAGAGGCTTTGTGTCAATGTCGCCGTTGTTGGTCCGGATTGGTTGGGTCGGTTCAGGTGAGTCTGTGTCTGAGGACACCAGCTTGGGGACCGGTCGCAAACCAGAGAAATTGGTGGTTGTGGGTTCCCTGAGGTTGGGGAGCCTGGGGGGAGAGGGATTCCGCGCACCAGAACCCCTTTCTGGGATGCCTGAAGTGGAGGACTGGGAACTATAACCCAAGTTATGAGTTCGAGAGTGGCTCACCCCTTGAGGTTCGCTTGTCTCAGGTTCAAGCAAAGAACTGTGGGACTGAGTGCGCCGCAGGTGCTGCTGCCCCATGGATTTTTTGTGGGGCATGGTCCGATAGCCACTATGGGCAGCAGAGGAAGGGTTGGTGCGAGACACGCGAATCCCATCCAAGCTATCCGCTTGGGGCACTCGTTGGAGACCCGGTTCCTCATCCGAGGTGCTGTACTGAGACCCGTATCGAGAAGGTTTCACCCCGTAAGGATTTTCGGGAAGATCTGAGTCGGAGCTGATGGACCCCGAAATGTCCTTGGATGAAGACCCCGCTCTGGGAGAGCCCAGAAAAGTCTCCTCAAAAGTCTGAGCCGGCCTTTCATATTTGTTTCCTCCTTTGATCTGTACCCCGAAGGAATCGCCTCCTTTTTCACCGCTGTTGAGGACCACAAAAGGTTGACCGTCGATACCCTGAACTCGCACGGCAACGCCGTAGGAGCCCGACTTGCCTGCCTTGGGGCGGGCTTTTTGGGATCTCCTGGGCTCCTTCAGGTCATCGATGAACCGGATCTGGACTCCGTAATCTATGGGGCTGTGCTTCTCCACTAGGGTGCCATTCACAGAATGGTCCATTCTCCACGAGTCGGCGGTCGCGAAGGATCCTGAATGGGGGGGGGGGAGAAGGCGAAGAAGACAAGACAGAAGATGAAGCTGCTTTGCTCCGCATCGCAGAGTGGCAAGGAAAGTTATTGCAGTCATTTGGGGGTGGAAGAGGGGGTGGAGAGGATGGTAATTATTTAACACACACAACATTACACACACGTGCATTGAGTCACAAAGCTTGGAGGGAACGCGGCTCCTTCTCCAAACCTCACAAGGCAGAAGTGGAAAGTCTAGAAATAAAAAAAACTCGGCTTCTAAGTCCCAAACTCCCCGCCTTACGCGATAGATCGGACAGAAACATGACCAGGTAGGATAAACTTTGGTCCAGGTGCCGTGACGTTAAACCTTTTTTAGATACTTTTGGCCTGGATCTGGTTGTGTTTCCTGAGACAGTAAAAAGCAGGCGCTTAGTCCCAAAAACCCTCTTTTTATTTCAACGGCTGTGAATTATGTTCATTCACAGCCCGTAATGAGTCCCAAATAGTTTGTAAAGAGTCCGACCGAAGTCTGCCAAAGTCTTTTGGGATAAGGCTGATAAGCACCCACCTTTATTACCCTTGAAATTCTGCCAGACCTAATTGGCCATTAGCTTTGCAAGGCCACACAGAGCTTCAGAATTTACACCGACCAGAACGAATACAGTTGCTTCCTGCAAAGGCTCATGTCCCTTTGCTCCTCCTTTATGTCCTATGGGAGGGGCCAATCATCTCCAAGCCTTCCTCCTGAGTCGTCCCTTTTGTCTTAACTGTTCTTGCCTTCTAGCAGCTCTGCGCATGCGTGCACAGGAAAACAGGCTCCCCCTGTTCCTCTGCCCTGCTGATGTCCCACTCTGGAGGCTCCAGAGGCAGCACATACTTCCCAGATGGCCCTGGGCCCCTCTCTACCTCCGACGCAGCGCCCTCGTCCGAGCCTTCCCCGGACTCCAGGACTGGCCCATGTTCCTCCCCAACCCTCCTCACTCTCTGAATCTGCCGCCAGCTCTGCAGGCCGCCGGCGGACCACAGGTTGAGTTTTCACTGACATACGACCAAATCAGCTAATTGTATTTTATTATAAAGCTCCATTTATCAGAATCTTGCAGGTTTGAAAGTATCCAATTTCCAACTGTCTCCTATACACGTCCTGAGAAACCAGGGAGGGTCCCTTCTGAAGTGTCTTTCTCTGCCCGTTGTGTCGTTATACGGGTTCAGCCGTCTTCGGCTGCGTCTCCATCTCCCAAGGCCTTCCTCGCACGAAAACATTAGAAATAGGAACCGAAAAGAACCCTCAAAAGGAGAGGTAACAACCATTTCGCTCGGGTTCACATCTAGCTTTTCACAAGCAAAAAAGCCGCAAGGCGGCTTGGAATACACACACACAAACATACACACACACACACACACACGGCGTGCAAGGAGGCGTGTGGAGCGAAGGCAGGGCAAACACAATCTCTTTCCTCGCTTCGGATGCTCTGCGGGTGCTGCCAACTTCTTTTCAGCCGAGGGACCCAAGACCCCATCTGGTGGGGAAACTTGGCTCCCGGCCCCTGGCAGTGGTGGGAGGAATGCTCCCCTCGCTTATTTTTTTCCTCACATTATTACCGTTAATTATATCGGCCTCCCGCTTGCCAGTTTTACGGGAAGTTTCAGATCGCTCTCATGTCCCACCAGGCGGCCCCGCGTTTTAACCGGCGCAGGGCTGGTCTCTCGTTCAGCGTAACTCGGAAGAAAGCCGTCCTCATAACGGTGACGCCGAAGGGGAGGGAGGGGACGGGGCCGGGGACCTCGGACGTGCACAGGAGGAGGAGGAAGAGGAGGAGGAGGAAGGAAAGCTGTGGATACGGACTGCACAAGTGTGCAGAAAGCATTGTAGGACCTCGCGATCAGGGAGTTGAGAGAGGAGGAGATTCTGCAATGCTGTTTCAACTGTCAAATGGAGCCCCTTCCCCTCCCCACTGCCACAGAGCCCCTGGGCTTCTCCCAAGAACACCATGCTGGAAACCCCCTTTGATCCGTACACACATACACACACACAAACACACCGACATCTCTCGTGATCCCAGGCTCCGTACTCACTGCGGCTGGTGCAGCATAGAAAGTCATCCAGGATTCTGGTTGGGAGGGAGGAAGCTGTGTGAAAGACCCCCTCCCTCGTCAAAGGAGGGACGTCAGCAGGCCCGGCATTGGGGGGGCTAGAAGTTTGCAGGGCCAGCTCTCCCGTTCCCCTCCCCCAAAAACTCTGGGTCTCAGCTCTTACTTTTTTTCTCTCTCTCTCTCTTTTTGCAATATGATGCAAGAACCACCAAGGTGGCCGGGCTGCCCTTCCGAATGGCCGGATGGGCTTCTCCTCCCTGCCCTCTTCCGCCTCCCCTCTCCAGACTGGATGCCTGACCACAGCCTCTCCCCCCTCCCCTCCACCCACTCCCCACTCCCACCGAAACACAGGAGCTTCCACTGCTGGAGGCCCAGAGAAGAGGAGAATATTCCCACAGGAGGAAACAAGAGGTGAGAGCGAGGATGGAGGCAGGGAGGAGGAGATGCAACACACACACACACACACACACACACACACAGCCCATGTGCAGCCGGTCAGCTGGGGCCAGAGAAGGGGGGGAGGGTATCACAGAGCATTTCTTGAGCCTAGGGGGGGTGGGGGGACGACTGCAGAGTCCTTTCGGGATGTGCGAGCTGGACAGCCAAGCTGGGAGGGGAGAAGGAGAGGGGATCAAAAGATAGGAAAGATAATGAGATGCTTCAAGTTTAGGGGTTTTTTGGGGGGGGGGATCAGTGAATGATGAAAGGCGGGAGATGTGGATGGGAAGGAAGGAAGGAAGGAAGGAAGGAAGGAAGGAAGGAAGGAAGGAAGAGGGAGGGAGCAAATATGGATAGAAGGAAGGAAGGAAGGAAGGAAGAGGGAGGGAGGGAGCAAAGGTGGATGGAAGGAAGGAAGGGAGAGGGGAGGAGGGTGCAAATATGGATAGAAGGAAGGAAGGAAGGAAGGAAGAGGGAGGGAGCAAAGATAGATGGAAGGAAGAAAGGAAGAGGGAGGGAGGGAGGGAGCAAAGATGGATGGAAGGAAGGAGCAAAAGAATATGGAAGGAAGATCTGAATGCAAAGGAAGGGAGTGAAGGAAAAAGAGAAAAAAGGAAAGGAAGAGAGGAGGAAGGAGAAAAGAAGACGGAAGGAAGAAAGATATAAATACGAAGGGAGGGAGTGAAGGAAAAAGAGAGAAAAGGCAAGGTAGAGAGGGAGGGAGGGAGGAAGATCTGAATGCGAAGGAAAGGATTGAAGGAGGGAAGGAAAAGAGAGAAAAGTAAAGGAAGAGAGGAGGAAGGAAGGAAAGAAGGGGCAAAGAAGATGGAAGGAAGGAAGATATAAATGCGAAGGGAGGGAGGGAAGGAAAAAGAGAAAAAGAAAAATAGAGAGGTAGAGAGGGAGGAACTGAAAAACGGACAGGAGAGCCAACGAGGCTATTTTCCAACCCCGACTTTCCAGCTTGGTTGGACTACAGGGCCCATCACCCAAGGGACGGGGAGCACCGCAGCCCAACAGCCAGAGACGAGCAGGGGAATAAGAGAGGCAGGCTGGGAAAAGGATATCGACAACTTCTGTCCGGAGGAGGAAGGTCGCCCGATGGCCGGCCCCGAAGCGCTAAGAAAGGATCGGTCGCTAGCAGGCTCGAGAGCGGCATGGAGCTTCCGTGGGGAAGAGCAGTCTACCCTGGACAACTTCCTTCTGGAACCGTTCCTTTTGAATGCAACCTGGAAGGGAGCCGGACTCCAACTCGGTGCTCCCCAACGTTCCCGGCTGTGGCTGCTGGTCAGTGTCCAACTTCCCTGGACAGAGGCCAGATCCCGGGGGGGGGGGGGGGCAAGAGGGGGGCAGAGGCCTCCGCAATCGACTCAGCCAGGACAGCCGGAAAGGCCAGATAAGGGACAGAGAAAGGACTCCATTGCAGACCGGACAGCGTGTGCCCAGCTGGCTTTTTCTGGCTACCACCAGCCCCATCGTCCCCTGCCGGCCTGTTTGAAGTCCCTGGGAAGAAGGGGAGTGCACCATGGGGGCGTCACCATTTCCCTTTCGGCTTTTATATATGTTGATTTACAAAGATAAACGTCGTATCACCGCCCTGAGTGGGTAGGAATTGGGCAGCTCATCCCTTATAATAATTTATAATATAAATTATTATTATTATTGGACACGCAACAATGTGGAATCACAGCTGCCATTTTTAAGGGGGGAAAAAAATCTGTGGTAAAAGTTCTTCGCAAGAAGCGAGGAAGAACTATTATTATTATTATAATAATTGCTATTATTTCTGTCAGGACTGAGCGGGAACAGTTTTAAGGTTGGACTCCAAGGCCAATCAGGCACAGCAGAGCAGTGGGCCTAGGGAGAAGAGGTGAGGCCTTCAGGCTTCACCCTTATATATCCCCCCCCCTGGGGTTCCAAAGCCCGCCATTTCCAGCCAATTGGGAAGAGGTGGCCTCCTCGAGCCGGGCGGACATTGGTCGCTTTGAGCAGGCTCGGGGACCAATGGAAGGGCCCGGCTAAGAGCCAATGAGAAGCTGGAGAGGGTCCACCAATCAGCTGAGGGGGCGAAAGGGGTATAAAAGGGGGCGCTGCTGAGGCAAAGGGCCAGATTGCCTAGAAGAGCTGAAGGGAAGGAGAGCTGGAGGGAAGGAGAGCTGAAGCTGTGGCTGATCCCTGAGGAGAAGAGCTTGGACTGGAAGGCTGAAGAGCTGAAGCCATCTCAGCTGCAGGAGGAGGGAAGGAGAAGCAGCCGGAGGGGAGAAGAGCTAAAAGAGCTGGAAAGGAGGCCACCAGGAGAGAAGATGCTGCATGATACAGAAGGAAGAGACCCCCTGAGGCTGAAGCCACTTGAACCCCAGAAGGCCAAAGATTAGGAAGAGCAGAAACAGCCCCTGAGGTAAAAAGCTGAAGTCACTATACACCTCAGGAGGTGGAAAGGAGGCCACCAGGAGAGAAGATGCTGCATGATACAGAAGGAAGAGACCCCCTGAGGCTGAAGCCACTTGGACCCCAGAAGGCCAAGGATTAGGAAGAGCAGAAACAGCCCCTGAGGTAAAAAGCTGAAGTCACTATATACCTCAGGAGGTGAAAAGGAGGCCACCAGGAAAGCAGGAGCTGGAGGAGTCACTTTGGAGACAAAAAGAGCTGCTAGCCTTGATCTCTGCTTGGTCCTCCATCCTGAACAGTAGAAAGGAAGGGCATTCACATGAGGGGGAATGTCAACTACATGTGACCAGAGCTCACAGGTTATACAGATACATGGGGGGGGGTGGAGTGGGTTAATCTCAGATGAGCTCCTACCAGTTTGGCCAAACTGATAGTTGGTGGCCTGGGTCACTGGAACCAGGCCTGCCATCTTGGATTTTTGGTTCTGTGCATAAGCAGAACAATTACACAAATGTAAATTGTTCCTTTTTTAAAAAACATTTTGCACATGTGCAGAGAGACCTATTTTTGTGCAAATGTACATTGATGCATCTGGTGTGTGCATAAGCAAAGCAAGCATGCACATGTGCAAGTTTTTTGCATGCCAGGAGCAACCCACCTCTGGTCAATCTGATTCATAGCCACAACACACATTTTGTGAAGTCCAATGCAAGAATTCTACCAGATATGGGATAAATGGTTTAGGTGGATGGAGGGAAGAAACAAGAATCAATGAAGGAATATAAACAAAACTCAAAAAATAATAGTAGTGTAAAGTGTTGCAAAGAATGTGTGGTTGTGTTGTGTTGTGTAAGGTGCTGTGAATGCCTGCGCAGAACTTTGGCTATAATATTTAATTAGACAAATGGGGAAAAAATTTGGGGAACAAACTTAAAAATGACACTTATCAGTTCCATACAAGGAAAACCAGTACAAAATGTTTCACACCTGGCACCAACAAGGTTAGCTAAAATCTTAAATACCTCCCCAAAATGTTGGAAAAGCCAATCAATTCATGGAACATATTACTATTTATGGTAGACCTGTGAGGAGGCTAAAAAATTTTTGGGAAAAAAATCAAAAATTGGCTGGAGGCAATAACAGGTTAAAATAGAATGGAAACCTGAAGTTTTCCTATTAGGAATTATGTCTGCGAAATACAAAAAAGAAATCCAGTATTTAATACTAC